GTATGTAATCTACCTTCTGGTCAGAGCTTTCCAAGCATTGTGCTGAAAAGCTATTTACCCTCTTAATTCTTGAAAAATTAATATCTTGCTTTCTCTATGTGGAAAACACTGCTCTGAGTGACCCAGCCTTTCTTCTAGGGGAGGAAGTTGCATTGTATTGTGCCAAATATCTTCCTGACATCATCAAAGATCAGAAGGCCTACAAGGAAGGCAAACTACAGAAGGTCTGTTTTCTGCTTGTGCGGGCTTTCCTTTGTTTCCAGCTGTGGCTTTTCCTTGCTTTCTGTAGCTGGTTACAGCATAATTACTGTATTTCTTAAGTCTTTACCTGAAATGAGCTTATTACCACTTTTTAAATCTGCCTTATCTACTGTTTTACCTATTAGTGGCTCTTGTGACAGCTCACACTGTATCCCATCTTTGTGCCCAGAATTTCTATGTAGGCCATTCTTTTGGGACCCATGTACTTGCCTTATACTGTTTTGTTTATATTCAGGCTTTAGAAGATGCTTTCTTGGCTATTGATGCCAAACTGACCACTGAGGAAGTCATCAAGGAGCTGGCACAGATTGCAGGGCGACCCACTGAGGATGAGGATGAAAAAGAGAAAGTAGCTGATGAAGATGATGGTGAGTTTGGTATCCCCTTGTTTGAGAAGAAAGCAACATTTTAAAGAACTGTGCATATATTGTTGATCAGATACCTGGGAAGTCCCTGCATTGCTGAGCCCTGTGATGTATACTACCTGTGGTTAGGAAGGAGGGAGGCAGTTAACCTTTGCTGAGTGCCTAGCAAGCATCCTTGGTTGTAGTTGGAAGCATTTGGATAGATATTATCCTTTGTCATTGTGATGGGGTCTTCCTGGTTCTGCTGTACTGATTAGGCCCAACAGCCAGCCATTAAGCCTTGACTTGAGGCCTAGACTAGCAATGGGAGCTCTCTCTTTCCCAGCTAAATCGGGGTTTCCAGCTTAACAATACCAAATGAAGGGCAAGAGGGGATATGGAATAACTAGTGTTCTCTTGATTAAGAAGAAATAGAAATAGAGGAGGTCTGTGGAAGAGTAGGTCCTCTGAACCTAAATGAGTGAGAGGCACCCAGGAGTGATAGGTGGGGCAGGGTCTGTGGGGAAGGCAGAGTTTAGGCTGCAAAGGCATGATGGTAGTTAGGGCGACTGACCCCAGTAAGACCCTGGCTCAGGGCTCTGATTTAGCCTCTTCCCTACAGTGGACAATGAGGAAGCTGCACTGCTGCATGAAGAGGCAACCATGACTATTGAAGAACTGCTGACACGCTACGGGCAGAACTGTCACAAGGGCTCTCCAAACAGCAAATCTGGAGCTGGGACAGGCGAGGAACCAGGGTCCCAGGGCCTCAATGGGGAGACAGGACCCGAGGACCCACCTAGGGAAACTCCTTCACAGGAAAATGGCCCTACATCAAAAGCCCATACAGGGCTTTCCTCCAGCTCGGAACGTGGGACTGAGGCAGGCCAGGTTGGTGAACCTGGCACTCCTACTGGCGAGGCTGGGCCTTCCTGCTCTTCAGCCTCGGACAAGTTGCCTCGAGTTGCTAAGTCCAAGTTCTTTGAGGACAGTGAGGATGAGTCAGATGAGGCGGAGGAGGAAGAGGAAGACAGTGAGGTAAGGGCAAGCAAATGCTGAAGTTACTGAGAGGGCCTGTTTGGTCAGCTCTCTTTTCCTTCTCCTGTCTTGATTTTATCCCCCAGTACTCCACTGTATTCTAAATTTAGGCCTTCTTGAATCCGTCCCAAGTACCACTTAGCCTTAGCCCTCTGACTTTGTCTTTTGTCAATAACATAATCAATTTCTGTCTGTGTCCTAGAGAGAATACAAAAGTAGTTGATGCTACCTTGGGTATTTGGTGTTTCCTTCCCAGGGCAATATATTTTTCTGATCATGCTACCTGGAAGGTACTTCCGGCTGGCAGGCCTGGCCTTGGGGCTTCATGCTGGTGATTACTAAGCCAAGCTCAGGATGAGTCTTAAACTTATCCTCGCCCTCTCCCTTTCCCAGAGCTCGTGATCATGTAGTTGTATCTTTTCGGGTGGTATTCTGAGTCCAAGTTGGGGTGGGGTACAGCAGGTAGCGATCCTAGTCTCAGCAGCCCGGCACCCTCCTTCTGGCAGGAGTGCAGTGAGGAAGAAGATGGCTACAGCAGTGAGGAGGCAAGGAGTGAGGAAGATGAGGATGACACTGAGGAGGCCGAGGAGGAGGAAGAGGAGGAGGAGGAGGAAGAAGAAGAGGAGATGATGGTGCCTGGGATGGAAGGCAAAGAGGAGGTATGTATGTGGGGAGGAGGAGAGGTGAATTCGGACAAGTCAAGAGGCAGCTGCAAACACTTCGATTCTGACAGGCAACACGAGCCCCTTACTATCTTAGTGGGGAAGTTGTAGACAGGAGAGAGTTACTCTACAGGGGAAACTGTGGGGTAAATGTTTTGGGTAGGATTTTTTCAGAAAAGGTTGGGAGCTTGTTGCTGTCTCTGAAAGATAAAGTCTGCCTTCTTCCTGTTTGTTAAAGATGTTTTGGATGCCCCAGGGAGAGAAGAGCACAGGTAACTGTCAGGGGTGTGTCGGTGACAAACTTGTGTCCAGGGACTCCCATGATGTTCCTTTTCTTCTCTTAAGCCTGGCTCTGACAGTGGCACAACAGCAGTGGTGGCTCTGATACGAGGAAAGCAGCTGATCGTGGCCAATGCAGGAGACTCTCGCTGTGTAGTGTCCGAGGCTGGCAAAGCTTTAGACATGTCCTATGACCACAAACCGGAGGATGAAGTGGAGCTAGCACGCATCAAGAATGCTGGTGGCAAAGTTACTATGGATGGGCGAGTCAACGGGGGCCTCAACCTTTCTCGGGCCATTGGTAAGGGCCAGGAAACTACAGTAAAGATGGTTGGGGTCTTGTCCTCTCTCCCTGACTTAGTATCAGACTATATAGCTGTTGTACCTTTCAAAGTACTTCCATCTTTGCTGCCTCTTTGTTTAACATTTCTAGGAAGTAACCCAGAGCACTGTCAGTATTCTCAGGACCGTTAGGGTAGTGAAGACAACAGGGGAGAGAGAGACTTACCTTAAGGCTCAGCAACCTGATGCAGAGGTGAAAATAGAACACACTTGCACTGGGTGATGGGACGTCATGGAGAAAGGAGTGAATGGCAATAGCAAGAAAAACAAGTCTGTGGGAAGCACTAACCCACTGGTCAACCAACCATTCCTTTACTTCAGGAGACCACTTTTACAAGAGAAACAAAAACCTGCCACCTGAGGAACAGATGATCTCAGCCCTTCCTGACATCAAGGTGCTGACTCTGACCGATGACCACGAGTTCATGGTCATTGCCTGTGATGGCATCTGGTGAGCACTGGTGAATGCCCTAGAATGAATGCCTTTTGGGCAGCAATACAACCTAGATAGGAGTAAGCTTGGAGCTGTTGTGGGGATGGAGCCCGGGCAAGTGGCTTGGTACTGCTCTGTCCTGCTAATGAGTAGAGTGTAAAGAGGATTCTATCATTTTTGACTCCAGGAATGTGATGAGCAGCCAGGAAGTTGTAGACTTTATTCAGTCAAAGATAAGCCAACGTGATGAAAATGGGGAGCTTCGGTTACTGTCATCCATTGTGGAAGAGGTGAGTTCCAGGAAGAAGAGGGGAAGCCTGGTCTACATAAACACGGTTCTCCCTTTTTCAGTATCAGTAATTACTGACATACTGAGCCCCCCCCAGAAAGTGCCCCCTCTCATGTCCTGGCTGCCTTTTGCCTCCTGGGTCAGAGTGAGCTGTGCCTGTTCTCATGCCAGGTCCCTTGGAGCAGGGGTAACCCTCTTATGGGACTGCAGGTTCCCCAAAAGGTGTTAAGACCCCAAAGCTAAGCTGTGCCGTCCTTTTTTAGCTGCTGGATCAGTGCCTGGCACCAGACACTTCCGGGGATGGGACAGGGTGTGACAACATGACCTGCATCATCATTTGCTTCAAGCCCCGGAACACGGCAGAGCTCCCGCCCGATAGTGGCAAGCGGAAACTGGAGGAGGTGTTTTCTGCCGAGGGGGGTGAAGAAAATGGCAACAGCGACAAGAAGAAGAAGGCCAAGCGGGACTAGCGGCCACCCCAACCCCCTGCCCACCCGGACTGTTTTCTGAGCCCTCCGGACCCGAGACTGAGTTTTGTCTTTTTCCTTTAGCCTTAGCAGTGGTGTGAGGGGTGCAGGGGAGCCGGTGGCTTGAGCTGAGCCCGGTCCAAAGAGGCTCCCCGCGGCACGGCCGCCCTCCCCGGGCGCTGCGCGGTTCCATGCCTGGGCACGGCAGTGTTGGAGGGAAGGACTGACGGCTCTGGTTTTTACTCTGTGAACACTTTATTTAAGGACATTCTTTTTTATCGGCGGCCCCGTGGTCCCGGCCGCTCGCGCCCACTCTGTTGTACACTTTCAATCAACACTTTTTCAGACTAAAGGCCAAAACCGAATCGTGCCCATGGTGTCCTTCTTTCACTGTCGCCCTACCGGGAGCTTAGTGTGTGCGTGGCCCGGGGAGGGGGGTGGGTGTGCAGCGGGTGTGTGGTGGGGCGGCCCCTGCGCAGCGGCGCCTCCGGGCTCAGCCTCCGCTCCCTGCGACTCCCTGGTTCCTCCGGGACGGGCGGGTTCGCGAGTCTGACTCCGCACGCCGATTGGCTCGTCCACCCGCTCGTCACAATCACTTCCTGGTCACACCGCGACCGCCGCCGTACGTCTCGCGGACTACGCGTCCCGTGCGGCTCTGCGACGGCGGAAGCGGAAGCGAGCACGGAGGTACCAGCTGGTCTCCATGGGGGGGTAGGGGGCTCCATGAATGGAAGAGGCGGCGGCGGCGGGAGCGGCCTGAGCTGGGGGCCGGGGCCAGGGCCGGGGGCTGCCGGCGGCCCGCGCCGCTGCATGGGGGCGGCCCGCGGCCCCTGAGAGGAAGGGCGGGGGGGAGGGGCGGCGCGCCGGGAGGGGCGGGGCCGGGCGACCGCGGCCGGAGGCGCGTCGGGCTGGAGCCGGTCACGATGCCCCGAAGGAAACAGAGCCACCCGCAGCCCGTGAAGTGCGAGGGGGTCAAAGGTCAGGGGTCAGGGACCTGGCGTGGGGAGGGAGGGGGCGGGCTGGGTCAGTGGAGTGCGTGCTGGTCAGGGTGGAGGGGGGCTTTTGAGGGATGGGGCGGGCGGACCGGGCTCCAGCTTCCCGCTGAGGTGATGAGGGTCGCGGGGCAGGGGGTGCCGCCCCTAAGGGAGGATCCACAAGCCCCCTGCCCTCCTCAGTGGACCCCGAGGAGACCCTCGACGAAGGCCCCGGGACCCTGGTCTTGGAGAGTGACTTGCTGCTGGGCCAGGATCTGGAGTTTGAGGAGGAAGAGGAAGAGGAGGAAGGTGACGCTAATAGCGACCGACTCATGGGCTTCGAGAGAGACTCCGAAGGTGGGTCGGGGCTTGGCTAGGATTTGGTGGCCCCTGGGACGAGGGTGGGCCACCTGAGTTTGGCTTGAGGCTGGATCCTGCATGACAGCACCAGGTGACGGGCGCGCCCTCCCTGGGCCAGACCCTTCACCCTCGCCACCTGCCCACCTGCCCGGCCTTGGGCGGTCCTGGGGGCGCCCTGCAAGAACTCCTTACCATGGGTGTGCCCTTCATCATCTCCCTCTGTCTTCTGCCTGCCCCATGAGATAGCTTATTCTAGAAACAGCCCAAAACTGCACATGATTCTAGTAAGCTTAGAGACTTGTGGACGCCCGCAGTCCTTGGGCCATTGTGAGCCGTGGATTCTCCACCCAGTAGGATTGGGTTTGTGGAACAACAGGCTTCATCAGAGCCCGGAGCGTGGCGTGGTCCAGGCAAGTTGGAAGCCTGCTCCTGTTGATCCTGCTTCTTGTGTCCGCCTCCACAGGAGACTCTCTGGGGCCCAGGCCTGGGCTTCCCTACGGGCTGAGCGACGACGAGTCTGGGGGCGGCCGGGCGCTGAGTGCGGACAGTGAAGTGGAGGAGCCAGCCAGGGGGCCAGGGGAGGCCAGGGGTGAGAGGCCAGGCCCAGCCTGCCAGCTGTGTGGGGGGCCCACAGGTGAGGGGCCGTGTTGTGGGGCAGGAGGGCCGGGTGGGGGGCCCCCGCTGCCCCCACGGCTGCTGTACTCATGCCGCCTCTGCGCCTTCGTGTCCCACTACTCGAGCCACCTGAAGCGGCACATGCAGACACACAGCGGGGAGAAGCCGTTCCGCTGTGGTCGCTGCCCCTACGCCTCAGCCCAGCTCGTCAACTTGACACGACATACCCGCACCCACACTGGCGAGAAGCCCTACCGCTGTCCCCACTGCCCCTTTGCCTGCAGCAGCCTGGGCAACCTGAGGCGGCACCAGCGCACCCACACGGGGCCCCCCACCCCTCCCTGCCCGACCTGTGGCTTCCGATGCTGTGCTGTACGACCGACCCGGCCTCCCAGTCCCACAGAGCAGGAGGGGGCGGTACCACGGCGACCTGAAGGTGAAGAGCAAGGGAGCAGAGGGTCTGGGTGGGTGGGCACAGGGGGTGTTTGGATTCTTAGCCCAGTCTCCTTCTCCCCACAGATGCTCTGCTTCTTCCAGATCTGAGCCTTCACGTGCCACCAGGCGGTGCCAGCTTCCTGCCAGACTGTGGGCCATTGCGTGGTGAAGGGGAGGGCCTGTGTGGGACTGGAGCAGAGCCACTGCCAGAGTTGCTGTTCCCATGGACCTGCCGGGGCTGTGGACAAGAGCTGGAGGACGGGGAGGGCAGCCGGCTGGGGGCTGCCCTGTGTGGGCGCTGCATGCGAGGAGAAACTGGAGGGGGTGCCGGCGCAGGGCCCCAGGGTCCCAGTGACAAAGGCTTTGCCTGTAGCCTCTGCCCCTTTGCCACTCACTACCCTAACCACTTGGCACGGCACATGAAGACGCACAGCGGCGAGAAGCCTTTCCGCTGTGCCCGCTGTCCTTATGCCTCAGCTCACCTGGACAATCTGAAGCGGCATCAGCGTGTCCACACAGGGGAGAAGCCCTACAAGTGTCCCCTCTGCCCCTATGCCTGTGGCAACCTGGCCAACCTCAAGCGTCATGGGCGCATCCACTCTGGCGACAAACCTTTTCGGTGTAGCCTGTGCAACTACAGCTGCAACCAGAGCATGAACCTCAAACGCCACATGCTACGGCACACAGGCGAGAAACCCTTCCGCTGTGCTACTTGCGCCTACACCACAGGCCACTGGGACAATTACAAACGCCACCAGAAGGTGCATGGCCACGGGGGGCCGGCAGGGCCTGGCCTCTCTGCCTCAGAGAGCTGGGCCCCACCTCACAGCACCCCCTCTGTTTTGAGCTCTCGGGGTCCACCAGCCTTGGGTGCCACTGGCAGCAGGGCTCTGCATACAGACTCACCCTGAACAAGGGCCTATTCCTCCAGAGCCCTACCAATGAGCCCTGGTTCTCCATACCTTTTCTACCAATGGACCAGAAGTCACCTCTTTCTTCCCCCGCTGGCCAGGGGCTCCACAGACTAACTTAGGCGCTGTATGGACCAGCTCAGACCCCCGCAGGCAGGGGCCCAGATGGACCAAAGGGGCCTTCCCTTGACTGCACTTGATGAGCTCAGTGAGGGGGCCTTGGGGTCACTGCTGGGACCTACTCAGCCTTCCACCTGTTTATTTAACTTATTTCAGTGCTTTATAATAAAGGAAACACTAACAGAGCCTTGTCTATGCTGGATTGGCAATGGCAGGCAGTTTGGCAGCGCCCTTAATGCAGTAGACCTTGCAGTGGAAAGGAAAGCAGGGGCAGAGAGAGGGGAACCAGAGGTAGACAGCAATCCAGCTGAGTTTAATGACAGGGAGCTGGGCCAGACCCTACAGACTTGTGCCCATGTCCTTGGCCCATGTCCCTGGGAAGCCTGAGCAGCCCAGGGTAGCTGTGTCCCTCCGCAAGGCAGGCAGGCCTGGTCCCTCAGACTCTGTGCAAAACACTAAATGCTAATTTGGCATTGTGGGCCAGCTTTGAAAAGGGGAGGGGGGCGATCCTTTGCAGCCAGCCCAGGGGACAAGGAGAGAGGTGTGTTAGGCCCCTGGCCGTGAGAAGGGGAGAAAGAAAAGGACCCCCCCCCCACCCAGTTTGGGGGACACAGGCACAGGGCAAGTTTCTGCAAAGTTCTCGGGTAGAGGGCAGACATCGAAGCAGTGGAGACTACAGATCCTCATCTCCAATGCCCTCGAAGGCGAAATTGCCGTGGACATCACCGGCACCGGCATCCGTGCTGGGACTGCCAATCCCCCGCAAGCTCACCGCACTCAGCTTACTCTGTAACAGAGGCAGGGTGGGGGGGGTCAGAGGGCTGGCACTCACGCACCCCCGGCAAGTGCCAGCCTCACCAGTGTTCTCACTACTCACTGAGAGTTTGACCACGGACTCCCGGCTGGCGTCGGGCGACTCCTGTGGGAACAGGAGGCAGATGCATCAGACTGCGGCCAGGACAGCGAGGTTGGAAGCAGGCATGCCAACCAGGGCTGCTACTTACCAGCAGTGGAGGGGATTTCACCGCTTGCTGACTATCTGAGCGTCTCAGGGTGCCCCCCACCCGTCGGCGGAGCATCTAGGGATACAGACAGATGCAGATGAGGGCAGGGCCTTGGCCTTAAGAAGCCCCACTGCTTCCCTACCCTCTCTGGGCTGCCACGCCTATCCCAGGTTTGCCTGGCCTACCTTTCGAATACTGCCGCCTGACTTCTTCACCATCAGCTCGTCTACCATGGACTGTAGGCAGATGCTCATCATGATGGCCTGAGGGCAACAGGAGAGTTCAGGCTGACCCCCAAGGCCTGGGCTCTCACACACGGAGGCCTAGAGGCCCTGGATGGGGGCACCTAAGGGGTTCCAGAAGAGGTCTGAGGGTCAGCTCACACCTGGGGGCTGGTGATGGTGACCCACTGCAGCCGATCCTTGCTCATGAGGTATTCAAAAGCCAGTTCCAGGCGCACCTCGCCTCGGCCCCGCCCAGGGCTGCTTGTGCCTCCACTGGGCAATGGCACCTGGAGGAGGAAGGAGAGTTACCTGGCTGGATTCGTCCCGAACCACTGTAGCTCAAGGTTTGGCTGGCCCCGCCCTCCAGAAGGCTACTCTTGCCAGTCACCCCAACTCACAGAGGAGGTGACCCGCCAGCAGCGCATGCGGGTGACCCGGAAGGAGCCTTCTCGGAGCTGTTGGCCAGGCAGGCGGAGCTGGAGGCTGAGCTCGCTGTTGCCTGCGCTCACCACCACGGGACAGTCCTTCTCTGGGAAGTCAGCCACACAGGCATCAAAGCGCAAGTAGCCATAATGTCGCAACGTCTGGGCCAGCCGCAGGAACTGGAAAATGGCCACCAAGTGAGCAGCTTAGGAGGGAGCAGGACAGTCAGGAGATGGCAACCCCCTTAGAGGGAGCCCGAGGCAGAGCGCACCTCCTTCTTGGAGACTTTCTCTTGCAGAGACTTAAGCTGCCGGTGCTGCTCCTTGGTGACCAGGATCCACCCACGCTCGATGTCCGACACGGTCTACAGCAGAACAGACCGAGGTTCCCAGTCAGCACGCTCAGAAAGTGTCCGGAGTTCTCTCTGGACAGCCTGACCTTAGCCCCCTACTTGCTTGCAATGGGTCCTTGACCTTATCTGCTCACAAAGTAGGGGAGAGCAGAAGTTGTGTCACAGCCCTAACAGTACTCTAGAATGTCCTCAACAGCCGGACAGATGTGAGTTTTCCTGGGACAGTGGAATCATCTTCAGGGGAAGGGTTCTGAGGCAGCACCACCAAGCTCACCTGAGCATAAAGCAGGTTCAGGCCAACCCGGTTCTCCATGACATCGTCATCATAGGCAGAGTCCCAGTAACTGTGAGGCCAAGGGGTGGAGAGGGGTAATGCACTAAGCTGGGGTAAGGCAAGAGGCAGGACTGGAAATGGGCTCCACAGGCAATGTGGAGCGCTAATGGATGCATGGTGGGAGGAGGCTCACGAGGCCCAGCGGAAACGGCCAGCACTACTCCCTTTTCTGTCTCAGTGTATGTCCCTTTAACCCAATCTGGCACACTCCCCCTCCTCCAGGTCCAGCCCTGACCTCTTCCTTAGCACAATCTTATACTCTTGACTCCGAAGACTGGTAACAGATACGTAAGGCAGCTCAAACTCTTGCAGCTTGCGCACAACTGTGAATTACAAGGGAGAAAAGGCAAATGTCCCAAGCCTCCGGAAGCAGTGCCCTGAGGCCACAAGGGACGGGGCAATGGCAGCAGGCTCAGGGCTGCTGGGAGCACAGGGCAGCAGTCCAGGACAGGGACACTCACAAGACATGGCTCCATCCTCTTTTTCTCGAACTAGGAAGAGACTAAAGTAGCCAATCAAGTCATCTGGAAGATCTAGCTTTGCAGCCACAGCCTGGGGACAGGAACAAGGGTTTCAGTCACCCTCAAAGTGGAGGCCTGGAGCAGGGGGGAAGGGTCGTACAAAACAAGCAGCTCACCTCCAGGACGTCCTCAGTCTGGTCAGAAGTTAGCACATTAACCACCACTTTCTGCCCATTGCTGAGCAGCACCTCCAAGGAGACCTCCTCCGTGGGCACCTGCTGGGTCTCCTGTGGAGTCGGGCAACGCAGCCTTGTTAGCACATGCATAGAGTCTGGGGGGACGCTTCCCCCAAGGCTCCATGTCTACACCCCTCTCCAGTCTTAGTTCTCAGCCACGTAAATCCAGACTGGGTTTCCCTTAACTCCCATCAGTCAAGAAGTGTCATTCCAAACAATAACAGCAACAACAAAAAGTTGCCAGAAAGTCTCCTCTTAGAGCCCTGTCATTGTCCTGTGAGGATCTTCCCTTGAATCAGGATCTCAGCCCAAGCCTTACCTGCTGAGCACGACGTAAGAAACTATTGAAGGTCTCACTGCTCCCAAGCAGTGGGTCTTGTCGAACTGTGGGGACGAGAGAATAATGTTCTTGTACCTCAAGAGGCACTCCTGCTCCCCCAGACTTCCTCTTTAGTAGGTGTCCCCCCTCCGGCCCCATTTCCTGGGCTGATGGTAGCCTGCCACATCCCCAGCTGGCCTCACCTCACTCACTGTTTGCATTAATTCTTCACCTGCCCCACCCTTGGCTGCCATCTAGTTGGGTCCAGTCTACAGAACCAGGGAAATAACAAGGATGTTAATCTAAAGCAGGTCGGACACAAATTAAGTTCTCCCCACCAATCTAAGTTGCTTTCCGTCTAGCTTTATGCAATTAATCTCTGAGATGTTAGTACCCAAATTGCTTTGCCAGAACAGACAGTTCCGCATGCTTGCAGTCTAGTCACTTTGCTCATTAAGTAACAGATCCAGTAAAGAGGTTTCCCAGATCTGGAAACGAACGGAGGACCTTCTCTAGGACCAGCAGTTTTTCAAGTCTTTCCCCATTAAGTCTTCAGGCTAAAAAGTTCCCTCCGACCACTCACCAGCTTGCATGTACTTCTCTAACTGCTCTCTCCTCTGTTCTACCTCAGCAGGTGTCAGAGAGAACAGCTTCTTTGGGGGGAATGCAGGAAGCACATTGGCCCCATACTCCTTCCGAAGCTATTTAGAGAAAGAGATAAACCCTTCGCATAAACATAGGCAATGAGAAGAAGTGATGGAGACTCAATTCCCTTCCCTCGGTGACTGCTCCCCTCTCTACCCTGGTGTCTGGGAAGCAGCACCCTTGGTGGAGGGAGCTTCTCAGGGGCTCAGGGACAGGGCAGCTATCTTATGCAGAGGGCAGAAGGCAGCCCCTCCATGCAACGTGGGGGGTTCCACTGGGCCAAGCACCCCTTGTTTTTCTAACGCTCCCCAGAAGCAAAGGGGCTTGATGATGGGAGATGTTAAGCACACACACGGTTAGTGAAGCACTAGCTAAGTCAGGGCTGCATATTGAGAGCCCTGAGCAAGGCCCTTTGCAGATCTGCGAACCCCATTCGTGGTGGCAGAACTTGGGTGGGCCCTCAGGAGATTAGGTCCTTGGCTCCAGACAGCAAGATTAATTATCATCTATGGATCCCAGACTCTACTGAGTTAAACACATGGAGCTCGCAATTGGCTGAGGAAGGCACAGAAACCCCAACATCAGATATGTTAGTGATCATTGGGAAGGAGCCAGGGGGCACACAGGGACATGGGTGGGTGGCTTGTGGAAGCGGGGGGTATAGAATTAGAAGCTGCAGCACAGACAGGAGGGGTGCATGGTGGCAGTCAGATGAGCAGACTCCGTGCAAGGGTCGAAGCTGAAAAGGGTGCTCAACAGGACAGAGAACCGGGAAGGAGGAAGTGAGCAGTGGGGGAGGAGGTGCTGGGGCTGACAGGGAGTTTCCCCGGAAGCGTCAGAGGGGTAGATAAAGCACTCCACCTTCCCCTGTGGCAGTGATTAAAGGCTACAGCGCAAGGGGAGCTGCAATGAAGGGGAGAGGGAGATATTGGTCCCCAAAGGTAGGAATGGGCAGATCGCTGTTCCAAGGCAGGCGTGCAAGTCCCACCTGCTCGTGCAGCCCCAGGAGCTGGCTGTAGCGCACCCGACAGTGCAGGACTCCATTCACGTGGATGTTATAGGCCTAAGGACACAAAAGCAGGCAAGGATAGTTTTAGGGTCAGCATCCAGGCTCACTCCTTGGCCGGAAGTGGCCTGACACTGCTCGGTCTGAGCAAAGCGCAGAGAACTCCGGCGCCTGTGTACCTCCAGGACCAGGTCCCGAGGCAGATGCACCAGTAGGGAGCGAACTAAGCCTCCTTACGCAGCCATCTCCCCTCCCAAGAGGCCAGGAATGCCGAGGCCTAGCCTGGGGAAAGGCCACCGGCCGAACAAAAGGCCTGCAGGTGCTACGACGACCTCTGTATCAATCTGAGTACTGACATCAGCTTCCAGCGAGGCCGTCGGGGGTCAGCGGCTCAGCGGCTCAGGAGCAAGCCCTGCGGTGGCGGCCAGGGTCCTTGCAAGCTGCCCGGAGAGGGCTCGGCCCGTTATCCCCGCCCCTGCCCGGCCGGGCTCCGGCCGCTCCTCACCACGTAGGCGGAGCCGCCGCTGTCCCCGCTGCGGGACTCGGTTTCAGGAATGGAAAAGTGCATGTTCCCAGCGGCAGGGCCCGGCCGGGTTCCGGGCTTTGACGGTCGCAGCGGCTCTGCACGTTCGTCTCCGATACTCAGCGAGAGCCCGCAGCTTCACTCGCCATTTTGGGCGCCTGAGGTCCAAAGTGGGAAGGCTGTTGGACGTCGACTCTCTGGGAGCCGTACCCCGGGCATGCCGGGAACTGTAGTCTTAAAAAGCAGGAGGATCCTTTAAGGACGGTTAGACCACAGGGAAGATGTCTCTCTCCGCAACCCGTATTCCGGGGCGGTGCCCAATGCACGTCGGGAATTGTAGTCCTCGTGGGGTTGCACGGTGTCTTCGTCGGCGTCTCGGCCTCCAGCCCAGGTGGCGCTGTAGTCTTGGTGACCGCGGAGCAAGTTCCTGGGACGGCCCAGTGACCCGGCGGGCGGAGCTTAGGTAGGAGTACGATGGCTGCTGTGGCTGTGGCTGTTCGCGAGGGTGAGTGAGGAGCCTGGAGCTCCGCCGGGCACGCGGGCCGACCAGCTCCGGAGGTGTCGCTGGGCCTAGAGCTCCTTGGGGCCTTCTCGTTCTCGTCCCGCCGGCACGCGGGACTCTGGTGTACTCGTGTCGGGCGCATTCCCGCACTGCGCACCGGCGGGGGCGAGAAGATGGGTGACCCCGCCTTCGTCCCTCCCTCGCCACCCCACGTCTTGGCTTTGATCCTGCCGCGCAGTGCGTCCCCACGCGGGTCCCTGGCTTGCCGGCGCCAGGCGCCGGAGCCGTGGTCATGCCCAGCCGGCAGCCGGCCGCCTCCGGCCCAAGCGCCGCCAGGCCCTCCCGCAGCCTCTCTGGCTCACTCTGCGCCCTGTTTTCTGATACAGACTCGGGATCCGGCATGAAAACGGAGCTCTCTGCTCGGCCTGGGGTAGGTGAGCCTTGTCCTGCCCCACCGCCTGTCCTGGGCTCGCTGGGGAGAGCTGTGCCCGGCTCATAGAGCCCCAACTCCACCCCGGTTCGGTCGTTCCGGACAGCTGCGGGAGCTGTCAGATCTGCCGCCCCCTGACGGCCGGCGTCTGCGGCTCGGGACTCCCTTGGGGGAATTAGGGAGGCTTGGGAACTTCGCCTTGTGGGAATTTTGTAAGCGTCCCTAGTGCTTCCACGTCTTTGTGTGTCCCAGGCCGGGGGGAAGGAGATGACCCAAGAAGAGAAGCTGCAGCTTCGGAAGGAAAAGAAACAGCAGAAAAAGAAACGGAAAGAAGAAAAGGGCACTGCAACAGAAGCTGCTCCTGCAGCATGTCCAGGTGCCGGGGTCTTTATGCCAAAGGGCTGGGGGTGTGGAGCCTGCTGGCAGGAGGTGTGGTGGGGGGTAAGGGAGAAGCCAAACCAGCTGGCACGGGGCGGGGGACGGGGGTGGGGGGCAGACATAAACAGGGAGAGAAGCTTTGGCCAGGGGACAGATAGCTCTGGCCTTAGCCACATCTCTTCCTTGTACCTTTAGTAGTCCCAGCCAGAGAGCCACCAGGACCTGGCACTGCTGGTGAGAAAGGCCCAGCTTGCCGGAGCAAGGCTGAGCTGCGCGCTGAGCGCCGGGCCAAGCAGGAGGCCGAGCGGGCCCTGAAGCAGGCAAGGAAGGGGGAGTCAGGAGGGCAGTCTGCCCAGGCCTCGCCCAGCGTGGCTGCGGAAGCTGCTTCAGGTAACTTGGGTGCAAAACCCACATGCCCCCGACTCCCAGGACTACTGGCAGTCAAATAGCTTTCTTCCCCCCTGAGGCCTCACCTCTGAAGGCAGAGGTCACAGTGTTGCCCTCTACCCCATTCTGCTCCTGTTTCTTCCTGTTCTCCCTGCACTCCCCCACTTGCTTTTTCCTCGATGATGCCCCTAATACCGGAAGAACAGATTTCCCATTTCCAAACCTACCTGGTTGTTACGTTGTAGGAGTAAAGCGACTCACTGAGCACATCCAGGTGGATGACCCTGTCCCTCTGAGAAGGCTTGCAAGAAAACCGGAGCGACAGCAGGTGCGCAGCAGGGAGCTCCCGGGGAGATGGGCCACATCCTGGGGAGATGGCTCACAGCAGGGAGATCCCAGGCAGATGGGCCGCAGCAGAGAGCTGAGGGGGAGAAATGGGCCGCAGCAGGGAGCTTGGGGGGGGGGGGAGGGATGGGCCACAGCAGGGGTGGCAGGGGTGGACCCTGCAACCTAAGGCCAGCAAAGTTATGTGGGCTGCTGGAGCAACCACAGGGACAATTCAAAATCCCCTACCTCTATAGCAGATGAATTTTTTAAGTTGATCATTTTGGGAGGTCTGAATGAGTTTGGGGCCAAGTTGGGAGGACCCTGGAGAAGGATGGATATTGCGGTGAACAGAGTGGCATTGGTCACGTTGTTGGCAACCTCCTTCCTGATCTGTTCCCCTCTTCCGGCAAGGTTCCAATTCGAAAGGATTATGGCTCCAAAGTCAGTCTCTTCTCCCACCTGCCCCAGTACAGCAGACGTAACTCCCTGACCCAGTACATGAGGTAGGAGACCACAAAACCATCACCTCTGTTAAGTCTTGGGGGGTGTTGGTCTGGCAGTTGGAAGTCTAGGCACGGGGGCGTGTGTGCTGGTGAAGGACGGCCCTCTCACCGGGGCAGGTGGGCAGTGCGTGCTCAAGCCCCCTTGCAAAGCCTGTGACACCGCCATCCCATCAGCATCCCATCCTCTGTGATCCACCCAGCCATGGTGCGGCTCGGCCTGCGCTACTCCCAGGGCCTCATCGGCGGCTCCAACGCCCGCTGCATCGCCCTGCTCCGGGCCCTACAGCAGGTAGGCCTGTCCTTCTCTCCCATCTCCCCTGCACCCACACACGCCCTCCCTCGCCCGGGGTGGTCTCTGGGGCCCCCTCAGGACTGTCCTCCTCTGTGAGGCTGGGCCCCAGCTGGGTCAGGGGGCTGTCTGCTCATGAACCTGTGTGCCATCCAGGTGATCGAGGATTACATGACACCGCCCAGTGAGGAGCTCTGCAGGGACCTGGTGGCGAAGCTTAAGCCTTACATCAGGTGAGGACAGGCCATGCCAGGACACACCCACCTCACTCACCTGGCCTTCTCCTCTATTTTCATTTTCCTGTTCTTTGAAGCAGTGTTTCACAGTGTGTAAGTCTGTTACACTACAGTGTCTTGTAAGGTTCCCAAGGCTACTTTAGAAAGTCTGTGGAAAGTGAAATTGGCCATAAGCTTCTTTTGGCATTACAGCCTTTCGAACACACATGGTGCATGTGAGAGAAGTTCAGAAAGGACATGGGACCTGAAAGGCATGGGTTCCACACGTTTGCCACTAAAGTAAGTCTAGCTTTACATTGTATCTTTTTTTTGTAGCTTCCTGACTCAGTGCCGCCCCCTGTCGGCCAGCATGTACAACGCCATCAAGTTCCTCAACAAGGAGATCACCGGTGTGAGCAGCACCAAGCGGGAAGAGGAGGTGATGAGTGGGAAGGGTGCAGTGAGCAGACATGCCAAGGACACACCCTGGCTGCTCTGGGCTTCAGGTTGAGGGTGTGCCTGGGTGCTTTGACTCCTGTTCTTCTGTGTCCTTTGAGCTCACCTTGAGTGCCCAGCAGGACAGTCCAGAGAGAAAAGGTGTCCACCTCTTGGTCCCTGAGTGTCGTGCGCCCTCCATTTAGGCCAAGGCAGAACTCCGGGCAGCGATTGATCGGTATGTGCAAGAGAAGATTGTGCTGGCCGCACAGGCAATCGTGCGCTTAGCCTCCAAGAAGATCAGCAATGGAGATGTGATCCTGGTGTATGGATGGTACGGTGCAGACTTGGCGAGAGAGCTGGGGAGGTGGGGTCCCACCCTGCCCTTGGCAGTGAGCTGGCATCTGGGAGGGATCTTCACAGAGGGTTCCTCCTCTCGCTGCAGCTCCTCCCTGGTATCGCGGATCCTTCAGGAGGCCTGGAGTGAGGGCCGGCAGTTTCGGGTGGTGGTGGTGGACAGCCGGCCCCGGCTGGAGGGAAGGCACATGCTGCGCTTTCTGGTCCGTGCCGGAGTCCCCGCCTCGTACCTGCTCATTTCTGCAGCTTCTTACGTCCTCCCAGAGGTGAGGGCAGAGGGAAGGACTCTGAAATTAGAGAGAAAAAGACTCTGGGATTACAGGCAGTCCTACCTCCCTAGGGTTACGGTTACTTAGAAGTGTCAGGATGATGTAGCCAGGTGTATGTTTGGCAGAAGTACCTGCAACTTGCTGTGTCGCACCGTGTCACTCTCAACAAGAAGATTATATTAAGCTAGTAGTCACCAGCAGAGAATGGGACAAAAGTCACTCAAATTCTGTGGGAGGTTGCTGGGCCCACGGCCGGCGGTTCTCCGAAGAGAGCCTTCTTTCTGCTCTCCAGGGCTTCACTGTGCACTGATGGCTTGTTTGTCTTCTGCTTCCTCACTCCAAATCGAACAGGTTTCTAAGGTGCTATTGGGAGCTCACGCACTCCTGGCCAACGGGTCCGTGATGTCACGGGTGGGGACAGCCCAGCTGGCCCTGGTGGCTCGAGCCCATAACGTGCCAGTGCTGGTCTGTTGTGAAACCTACAAGTTCTGTGAACGTGTGCAGACTGATGCCTTTGTCTCCAACGAGCTAGGTAAGGGTTGGGCTGAGGGGGACAGAAAAAAGCTTCCAGGACACTGAGAACATTAGAGGGAGAGAGAGGGTTACACCGCTGCTAATTCTAGAAGGACATGATGGGTGCACCTCCCGTTCCAGATGACCCTGATGACCTGCAGTGTGAGCGGGGCGATCATGTGGCCCTGGCTGACTGGCAGAGCCAACCATCCCTACGGTTGTTGAATCTCGTCTATGACGTCACTCCACCTGAGCTCGTGGATCTGGTGATCACGGAGCTGGGCATGATCCCTTGCAGTTCAGTTCCTGTCGTCCTGCGAGTCAAGAGCAGTGACCAGTGATGGGGAAATGACCTCAATAAATGACATACACCCTCAGCCTTGGCAGCTCTCTGGCCCCTCTATCTTACCGTCTACGCCACATAAGGAAGGCATGCACATTGCCTAACCTCTCTCTCATTTTAAAAGATTGATTGATTTCAAAGGCAGGGTGGCAGAGAGCAGGAAATCTTCCATCTGCTGGCTGACTTGCCAGATGCCCATAACGGTGGGGCTGGGGCTGACCAAAGCCAAGAACCGTGAGCTCCATCCAGGTCTCCCACATGGTGAGGGGCAGGGACCCGAACA